CCGGGGTGTCTGCGGTCCCCCTAAACTGTGTGGTCCGTCAGGTGGGGGTTCGAGGTGTGTAGCGGTGGGGTGTGACTGTGAAGCCCGTCTGAGGGCCGGGCACTGCCAGTTGTGGTCGACCCCCCCAGGTGGCGATGGGCCCCTTGCTGTGTCCCTAGTCTTGTCTGTGAGGCGTGTCATGTTCCTTGAGGTCTTGCCCACCCCCCCTCTCCCTCCCGGTTGCCCCCCTCCTGCCTCCCCCCCCCCGCCCGTCCCTTGTGGGTGTTCGGTGGCTGCGGGTGTAATGTGTGTGATTATGGTTCCCAATTTATACTTGCAGCCCTGAGATCATAGTTCATGGGGAGAAAGTGTCTGGTTCAATAGTCCCTGTCCCCTGCATGCTGTGCTGTCCTCTCCTGACGTCTCGGTCGCCGGGGATCTCCAGTTCTGTGGCGAGCGCTGTCTACGGGTTGGTGGATTTGATGCTCCGTCGCTGCGGCTGTGTGTGGTCTTTGGGAACTGGTTCGAGAGTTCTCTCAAGAGAGGGTCAGGCTCATTGTGTGGGGTCGGTCTGTGGCCTGCTGGGGTGCGTGGTTCTGGTGCTGTGTCGGTGGTGCTGATACCGTGTCCGGTCGTTGCTCCCGCCGCCTCTGTGGCTTGTCGTCTAGTTGCGTTCGGTGTCAGGCCTGGGTGTCTCAGCGCGTTGTTGCTGAGTACGCCTATCTCTGGCCGGTAGGTTGTGGTGAACTGCTTGTGATGTGGCAAATCCCGAGGCAGTTGGGGGAGGCTCAGGTAGCCGCGGGAGGCCCAGGTGGTCCAGGAGAGCAGGGATTTCCGTGGCATTAGAGATGGAGTGGAACCTGCCCTCCCTATGGACTATGAGCTTGAAAGGGTGGCCCCAAGCGTACCTGAGGCCATGCTGTGTGAGGTGCTGAGTGAGGGGGCGCAGGTCCCGTCTTCTTTTCAGGGTGGTCGGCGCCAGGTCCTGGAACAGCTGGACTTGGACGCCCTCTACCTCTATGGGAGTCTCTCTGGCTGCCTTCATAATGTGCTCCTTTATATGGTAAAAGTGGAGTCGCACTATCACGTCCCTTGGGGTGGCTGTGTTGGTGCTAGGCGCTCTCAGTGCCCGGTGTGCCCGGTCCATGAGCAAGTCGGTGGTGGAGGCTTCTGGCAGGAGATTCTGGAACACTTCTGTGAGGGTGGCGGTGAGCAGCTCCGTGGAGATGGTCTCTGGTATGCCCCTCACCCTAATGTTATTCCTTCTGGTCCTGTTGTTGAGGTCCTCGTTGGAGTCCTCTAGGGAGCGCAGTTGCTCGCGGAGGTCTTGTAGCTCCCCGCCATGCGCCTGCACGGTCTCCAATGCCTCCGCCATTTTCGTTTCAGTGGCCTGCGTTCGGGCCGTCAGATCCGCCATCCCCTCCATGATCGGCCCCAGCTTCTTATCCAGCTCTTCTGCCACTGATTTGCGGAAGTCGGCAAGGAACCCTCTCATGTCCCGCCGTGTCAGTGGGGCTTCCGCCCGGTCCGAGACCGTGTGGCTGCTCATCTCGGAGTCAGTGTCAGACGGAGAGTGTGGTGAAGATGGCGCCTGGGCCTTCGCGGCCTTTTGCTTAAAAATTGGCGCGACCGCCGAGTTGCGGGTTTTCTTGCCGCCGCCCATGGAGGGGGTGAGCGGGGGTCTTGGGATGGGTGTCCGGGTGATTTGGGGGTGTCAGGGGGGGCTCGGGTGCGTTAGGTGGCTGTAACTAACGGCAAGGCTGAGGCAGAGCTCGGGGGTTACGCGGCCATTTCCCTGCTCAGCCAAGCTCCGCCTCCAAGGATGTATTGTACTTCATACTCAGGTTCCCCAGCGACAATCATAGGAGCAGGAGGAGGGATAATATGATCAGGGAATGTATTGTCTTTAAAAGGCTTGAGGAGTGACACATGGAAGGATGGATGGATGGTAGCGGTAGTGAGAAGGTAAATCTAGTTGAACAATGATGGGAGAGATGATCTTCTTGATATGAAATGGACCAATGGGCCCAATTTCTTAGAAGGGCAGGGTAACCTCACAAATCTGGTGGAAAACCAGACAAGTTGGTCGACTTGATATGAAGATGGAGGTTTCCTGTCACGATCTGCATATGATTTATAAAGGCATTAACACTATCCTGCAATGTGTTTTTAGCACAGAGAAACCTCTGCGTTAGTTGGTTGACGTGAGCAGAGGCGTCGGGGACAGTGGAAGAAACAGCTAATCCTGGAAGGGATGTAGGCTGGAACGGAGCATAAAAGGAGAAGTGTGTGTTGAGTCATGTACATGAGTATTATTGGCAAATTCTGCAGTAGTGAGGAGATCTTTCCAGTTGGATTGCAAATGAGTTGTGTAACAGCTAAGATACGTTTCTAGAGTCTGATTTGTTTTTTTGGTTTGTCTGTTGGTATGGGGATGGAAGGCAGTAGAGAGGTCTACATAAATGTTTAGGGACTGACATAAGGCTTTCCAGATTGGGATGTGAATCGGGTACCCCTGTCAGAGAGGACAGAATCAGGGATTCCGTGTAGCCTGAAGACATAATCATGAAAGAGAGTGGCAGTCCTTTTGACCATAGGAAGGCCCTTTACTGGGATAAAATGAGCCATTTTAATCAAACTATCAATGGTCACCATTATTGTATCGTATCCATGGGATTCAGAAAGGTCAACGATGAAGTCGACGGTGATATTACTTTAGGGTCTGGGGGGAATTGGTAGGGGTTGTAGTAGACCTGCTGTTTTTATAGTTAATACAGGTGTTCACATAATTGGCTACGCCTTTTCTTAGGTTAGGCCACCAGAAGGAGTGTCGGATGGTGTGTATAGTCTTACGCTATCCACCATGACCTGACACCAGAGCATCATGCAAATCTTGTAATACACGGAGATGAAAGGGTTTGTTAACATAGATCTTCCCATGAGATATTGGGAACCCTTCAGGAGAAAGAGGCTGATTAGTGGCAGTAGCCATGGTTTTGATGTCCTTTATTACAGTAGTCATGATACCGAAGAAGTGTTGTTGACTTCTTTTTTGGGTTTGTCTCATCTGGGGCAAACATTCTCAAAAGGGCATCCGCTTTTTGTTTTTTTGACCCCAGCTGGTAGATAACATGACATAAAAACTTAGAGAAGAATAATGCCCAACGGACCTGTCGTGGATCGAGATGTTTTGCCAAGCGAAGGTACTCCAGGTTTTTATGATCGGTGTATACCGTTAAAGGGTGAGTTGTACCATCTAAGACAGTGGTCCTCAATCTAGGACTCGTGGGCTGGATCTGGCCCGCCACGGTCCTGAACCCAGCCCATGCATTTAGGGCCACACGATGGGCCCTATATCTTCAGGGGCCCGGTCACTTCCTCCAAGCTCCCTCCACGCGGGAGGGAAGAAAGACAGGTGAGGACGGGAGAGCCACACCGACTCCCATTAGCCACAGCCACTATCCTGTAAAAAAAGTAAGAACATTTTGCCAATCCAACTTGGTGTAAATGGATGCCTCCTTTAATCTCTCAATCAATTCAGGGATGAGAGGGAGTGGATATTTATTCTGAACAGTGATTTTATTCAACTCTCTGTAGTCCACACATGGATGTAGGCTACCATACCATCCTTCTTCCCAACAAAGAAGATGCCGGCTCCTGCTGGAGAAGGTTGGATAAATCCCTTTGCTAAGTTTTCATTTATGTATTCCTTGAGACTGTGAAGATCTTTCTCTGTCTGGGGGTATATTCTGCCGAACGTTATGGGAGCCCCAGGTAACAAGTCTATGGGGCAATGGTATGTTCTTCGTGGCGGCAAGGTATAAACCCCTTTCTTGTCCAAAACGTACATATATTCATGGTTTGCCTGAGGGAGTAAAACCCTCCTGATTTTTCTTCATGCTGGCATCCAGTATGGAATGTATGGAACATTTGGGATCATTTCTTTGCAGGCAATGAGTAGAACAGAGAGTTGAGGAAAAGGACAAGTTTCCTGAGTTCCAACTGATGACAGGATTGTGTTTACGCAACCAGGGGATACCGATAATTACCGTGAACAGAGGCGAAGGTGTCATGTATACATCCTCTCCAGATGCTATGCACAACATAAATCACCTTTCCAGGAGTAGGAGAAGTGTTGCTCAGCAGTCCTATGCCATAAGGCCGGGCTTTTGCGACACCGGCCGTGGCGGATCCACACTGTTATGTAGCCCCACGTCTGTCAACGGTAGTAGCGACGGGGACGTACGGGTAAGGTCACGCAGAGGACGCGCGCACACGTTTTGGGGTCAAAGGTTTGGTACGTCCGATTCTCAAGAGAGATATTTAAACCCACTCATTTCTTCCACTCACAGCCCTGGTGTGGTTTCCCTTTGCTAGTTATCCGAGAGTGTGTTCCTGATCGTGTTTCTTTGGTTATTGACTTTGGCTTTGTTTTGACTTCCCTGAATTCTGGTATCCCTGACTATTGGCTATTTCTTTCTGTGTTCCTGACCTCGGCTAGTATTCGACTATTCTCTGGTACATTAAGTCCGGCCATTCTAAGGTCCGGTTAGATGTTATCCTTATTCCCAAGTGTGATACTAATACTGCGTGTTGGATCAATTGTAATCCTGACAGAAGGGACAAGCGCAAACACAATGTACTCTTTATATCTCCCTACAGAGACCAGGAAAGTTTGGGTTTGTTTTAGTAATGGACCCGATTTCAAGAAAGACCCATCCACCACTTGTATCTTCAACTGAACATTTTTATTGATTACAGGGATTTGTAATGCAGCAGCTACGGAAGAATCAAGGAAGCAGCCACTTGCTCCTGAGTCGATCAAAGCCTGGCATTCATGAACGTTCGTATTCCACTGCAAGGAGAGAGACTGATAAGGGAGGACTCGTGGTACTTAAGATGGGTAGGTTCTCACAGTTTGGTGTGGATGCCCACAGTAAAAGCATAGATACTCTATCCTTCCGCGTTGTAACTCAGCAGGAGGTAAACGACCATGGGCCAGTCCCACTTGCATAGGTACCTCAGTCTGATTTGTGGAAGGAAGTGGCTGGAACCCGGAAGGAGTAGCAGGTGTTCTTGAGGGCAGAGAGCAAAGTTACCTTCTCGTGATGTCTTTCTCGTAGTCGTCTATCTAGCTGGAACGCCTTTTCCAGCGACTCAGGAATGTCAAGGTGTGCAAAGTTGTCATTGAGGGGTTCCGAGAGGTCTAAGCGGCACAGGTTGATAAGGCCAATTTCATTCCACCAAGTGTCTTTAGGGTAGCATTTGAAATCTGGTCCGAGCCCTTGCCGCAAAGCTCTGATGGCTGTTTGAGCAATATCTTGCCTGTGAGGATCATCGTACATAGAGGACATGAGTGCCACAAAGGAATTCCAATGTTGAACAGCAGGGTTGTTGTCACGTAGCGACGTCTCTGTGGAGTAAGAGGGAGACACGGTGCAGTAGCACAAGGTAGGTGAGTGGAGTAGCAGGAACCTGATGCCTACAAAGGGTTACCATTTCTTAAAGTAGACACCTCTGGATATCTCAAATGGCAAATTTTTCAGGCATGGAGATCTGCAATTCTGGTGTCATAGATGCATCTTCAGGAAGAGGTGTTCTTGCTTGTGCTTGTAGTTCTTGGACCCTTGAGTCAGGCTGGTTGCTTGTTTTGTCAGGGGATCAAGCATTTCAGCCACATCTGCGAGCTCCATTTTGAAAGTGGAGTTTAATTAGGGAGAGGAGGCGGTCTACTTACTGTAGCTCCTCTCTGGTATCTGCCTCCTGTCTCTGGTTTCAGCACGCACCAGATGATTCGGGCAAAGTACCGTCCTCTGTGGAAGCCACAGTGCCTGGAGGATCACAAGTGGCCGACGTGGATGGTCTCTGTGTGTCAGGATTTTACCTGGGGTGGAGTCCGACTCACAGAGATATATGCTCACGCTTGCAAATAAACACAGACCAAGGTGACCAGGTAAGAAGCCACCTGGACTGTGAGTTTGTGCACGGCGGCTGTCAGGAAAAGTGCTCCAAAACATAGTACAGACAATGATACAAGCAGAAGGGTAGTTCGAGGTATAGCTGAAGTCAGGGGAAGCCAGAGGTCAGAATGAGCGAGGAGATAAGCCAAGATCAGTCTGAAGAATGCATGAACAGGAGCCAAAATAACAGGAACCAAGAACGTGAACCAGAGTCAATGAACTGACCCTGCCCACAGGCAGAGGCAGTGTATACATACCAGACTAATTAGCAATCTGCTTCAGGTGGACTGAGATTGACAGGAGCAACCACGGGTAAGGTCCAGCCCCGTAGTGCTGTAGACAAGGCAAGATAGGACATCAGGGAGAAACATGAACTGAAGTCTGCTTCAATGCCATCGAGACAGCAGGACTAAAGCTGTAAGAGTCCACAGTTTAAATCTCCTTAGTGCCACCTATGGTCTGTCTGGATGGCATAGTGTGAACCATGACACTGTAGAGGGAGTGTGAGGTAGGTGAGTGGAGTAGCAGTTACCATTTCTTAAAGTAGACACCTCAGGGTATCTCAAATGGCATGATTTTGATCCTTATTGTGAGGCTATTTCTTTGTTAGTTTGTACCAAGTGTAGCGGGAATATGTGTTTTTGTAACATTTTAGAGCATTTCGGCAGACCACGGCAACAAATTACCTCACAGAGGACACATTTATTTTTAAATATAAGCAGCTCATCAATTCAAATTATAAACAAAAGCATACTATTGGCTCCCTACTAGGGACTCGTCTATACAGATGTTTTTTGGAGGACATACACAGTGGCAGAACTACTCCTGTTCTTGGGCTCACATGCGCATGGGCCTTTTTAGGGGTCCAGTCATGCTTTGCGGCCCTTTGATAGAGTGACCAGGCCCCTGTAATTACGGCAGGGCTGGGAGGAAGTAAAAGGCGATCATCTCCTCTCAGATAACAAACAGCCGCTCGGAAGGAAAAGGCAAAAAGGAGGGACTGCGGAGAGGCAGACTCCCAATAGTGTCAGCCAGCCGACTGGACCCGAGGGAAGCCACACTCAATAAGCAGGAAAAAGGAGGGTGGCTTGTGAATGTGTGAATTTTTAATGTGTGTCTGTGTATCTATTTGTGTGTCTGTGTATCTATCTGTGTGTAATAGTACTTTGGTGCAAACACAATGCAATATAAGTGCCACAATTCGTGAAAAAACTTTTATGGGACATTTTTTTTGCTCATTGAGGATTAATATAAGAACTATTGAGATGTATACAAATTGTGTTTTGTTTGTGGACTTTTATGGGACATTTTTTCATTGCTCATTAAGGACTAGTATTGAATTCTAATTATCTCAAACGATTCACGCCCACCTTATGGACATAAATATGGAGTGTGGGCATGTTGAGGGCAGATCTGAGGAAGCCGGCATACCGGTGAAACGCGTCATCACGCCCTGACGTCACACGCTCACACGCATTTTGCTCAAGCCATGCCCCCCGGTGCCTTTGGGAACTTCGGACGCAACATCCCACAGCCGGCAGTGGAGTAGCTGAAGTGAAATCCTATCGGTGGGGTGAGCTTATGGGTCCTTTGGTGGCTGCTGCTGTTTTTAAAGTATTGCAATAAAGATTGGATTTTCCACAATGTATTATCTAGTCCAGAGTGATATATCTTGGAGCTATTAAAGTTTAGAGCAGGCTTCTCTGCTCTATGTTTGTGAGTTTGTGATATAAACTTTTATATTGCATACAATTTATTGTGCTATATTGCCCTATGAGGTTCTTTTATTCTTATTTTACATGTATGCTCTCCCAATGAAATCAACCAATATTCTACAATAATACATATGTAAGTTTGTATGTTACACTGATCCACATTTTTTTCACAAATTGTGGCACTTATATTGCATTGTGTTTGCACCAAAGTACTATCGCACTTTATAATATATGCACCGTAATTGATTGTGTTCTAAGGGCATGTTGCAATTTTCACTAATATTGTCTTAAAGACACAGCGCACCTTAACTTTCGTTTTATGTCTAAATAGTGTTTTGTAAGCTTGTACACTGTAAGGTGCAGCTTTCTTACCTCTAATCTATTTTATTGTATCTGTTTAGTGCCTATTTTACTTGATTTTTTTTATCTATCTGTGTGTCTGTATGTGTATGTTTGTCAATGTGTGCCTCTGTGTATTTGTGTGTGTATCTGTATTAGTGTTATTACTTGTAAGTGTGTCTCTGTATCTCAATGTGTGTCAGTGTGTGCGTCTGCATTTTTGTACATGTGTACCTCTATGTGTGTCATTGTTAGTATATGTATATGTGTTAGATTGTGTATCTGCATGTGTATCTGTGTGATGCACACACAGATACACATGCAGATAGACAATCTAACACATATACATATACTAACAATGACACACATAGAGGTACACATGTGTGTGCATAGCAAGACCACTTAATGTTATCTCACATATATATTATTTTTATTATTATTATAGCCAAATTTACCACCCTAACTCTACCCACAGTAGAGACTACATAGACAGTAATATACCGAAATGTGCGGATTGTTGCCGATTGGTGTGCTATTACTTTGTGGAACGTTTCGCCGAATGGTTCACGGAATATCGTCGTTCTTGTGGCGAAATTCGTCCTATAGGAATGAATGGCGAAATGTTCAAAACTAGAGTGGGAGCTGACAAAAGCTGAAAAATCAGGACATGATTTCTAAATTGCAACCACTCCCTCTTTTTCAAGCCCACCTACACAAATCTTGAATCAAAACGTTCAGCTATCCCTGCTGCCACTAAACATGTCAATGGCTAAGCCATAGTCCTGATAGTTTTCACAATATGACCATTTGTTTGTAACTCACGCCATCCATTGACATTCATTGAAACTCCACTCTAGCCAGCTCAAATTTGAAGGGCAATATCTAAACTGCGACTGTGCCTTCATTTGTAATATCTCAGAGACAAACTATGCATCAAAATGTAGGTCAGGGTCTTGTGATTCTCACAATATAAAGCTCTTCACTGTAGGATTTATACCCTGCTAATGTTTTTATAAATGTATGTTTTAATGTAACTGTGAAGCACTTTGGGCAACAACGTTGCAATTAAATGTGCTATATAAATAAAGAATAACAGTTACTCCGCCCACTCCAGTTGTAGACTATTGGTGGAGGCAAGAACACTTCACACAATTTCCCCAGAAATTGTAGCTTTCTAGTTGTATAATGTTATCTGAGGATGATATCTGTTATCTAATATAATGTTATCTGAGCACGAGGGAGCTGAGCAGGGAGAGCTTAAACGCGCTCCCTTACAGCCTGTCCGCCCCCCCTGCCTGCACAGCAGCCCCACTAGACCTCAGGTAAGATACCAACCCAGTCTGTGTGTATGGCTGTGTGTGTGTATGGCTGTGTGTGTGTGTGTGTGTATGGCTGTGTATGTGTATGGCTGTCTTTATGTATAGATGTATGGCTGTGTATGTGCATGGCTCTCTTTATGTATGGCTGTCTGTGTGTATAGGTGTATGGCTGTGTATGTGTATGGCTGTCTGTGTGTATAGGCGTATGGCTGTGTATGTGTATGTGTATGGCTGTCTGTGTGTATAGGTGTATGGCTGTGTGTGTATGGCTGTTTGTGTGTATAGGTGTATGGCTGTGTGTGTATGGCTGTCTGTGTGTATGGGTGTATGGCTGTCTGTATGTATGGCTGTGTGTATGTATAGGTGTATGGCTGTATGTATGTATGGTTGTGTATGTGTATGGCTGTCTGTGTGTATAGGTATATAGCTGTCTGTTTGTATGGCTGTCTGTGTGTATAGGTGTATGGCTGTGTATGTGTATGGCTGTCTGTGTGTATGGGTGTATGGCTGTGTATGTGTATAGCTGTCTGTGTATGGCTGTCTATGGCTGTCTGTATGTATAGGTGTAAGGTTGTGTATGTGTATGGCTGTCTGTGTGTATAGGTATATAGCTGTCTGTATGTATGGCTGTCTGTGTGTATAGGTGTATGGCTGTGTATGTGTATGGCTGTCTGTGTGTATGGGTGTATGGCTGTGTATGTGTATAGCTGTCTGTGTATGGCTGTCTATGGCTGTCTGTGTGTATAGGTGTATGGCTGTGTGTGTGGTTGTCTGTGTGTATAGATGACTGTCTGTGTGTATGGATGTCTGCGTGTCTGGCTGTCTGCGTGTATGGCTGGCTGCGTGTGTGTCTGGCTGTCTGTGTGCATGGCTGTTTGTGTGTGTGTGTGGCTGTCTGTCAGTTTGTGTCTGTGTGTGTCTGTGAGGGAGCCTGTGTGTCTATGAGTGTATGTGTGTGTCAGAGTGATTCTTTTCTTCTACATAATTATTCATCTGAATTTAATGCCTGGCCCCCCAGTCATTTGATTGCCTAGCACCCCAGTCTATGGTTGTGTATGTGTATGGCTGTCTGTGTGTATAGGTATATAGCTGTCTGTATGTATGGCTGTCTGTGTGTATAGGTGTATGGCTGTGTATGTGTATGGCTGTCTGTGTGTATGGGTGTATGGCTGTGTATGTGTATAGCTGTCTGTGTATGGCTGTCTATGGCTGTCTGTGTGTATAGGTGTATGGCTGTGTGTGTGGTTGTCTGTGTGTATAGATGACTGTCTGTGTGTATGGATGTCTGCGTGTCTGGCTGTCTGCGTGTCTGGCTGTCTGCGTGTATGGCTGGCTGCGTGTGTGTCTGGCTGTCTGTGTGCATGGCTGTTTGTGTGTGTGTGTGTGTGTGTGTGTGGCTGTCTGTCAGTTTGTGTCTGTGTGTGTCTGTGAGGGAGCCTGTGTGTCTATGAGTGTATGTGTGTGTCAGAGTGATTCTTTTCTTCTACATAATTATTCATCTGAATTTAATGCCTGGCCCCCCAGTCATTTGATTGCCTAGCACCCCAGTCTATGTAAATCCCTCTGCAGCAAAGTTATATCTTGTTCACATTGTATTACTTTACAGAGTTTTGTGTTATTTGCCAACACTGAACCATGACTTTCAATGCATATTTCATTTATAGATCATTTATAAATATGTAAGATAGAAGCGGTCCCAGAACAGAATCTTGATGGACCCCTCTTACCACTTTTGTACATATTAAAAATGTACCATTAATGACAACTCTCTATACTCTATCATTAAGCCAATGTTCTACCCAAGAACAAGGATTTAAATCTAAACCAAATTATTTTAGTTTGAACAGTAACCTAATGTGAGGAATCGTATCAAATGCCTTGGCAAAATCCAAGTAGATCACATCCACTGCAACACCCTGATCTATACTTCTACTTATTTCTTCGTAAAATGCTATTCAGTTAGTTTGACATGACCTATTGAAATGGAAAAATCAATCAAGGTATTGATTATTTCTTTGTGTATCTGCCCCTGGCCAAATCAATGAAACAATGCGTGCACGCTCCCTGAAGTAATTCATACCAGACACAGGTTCCAGGTTGTTGAATAACTTGAGGAAAGTTTATTCAGAGGGGACGGCAGGTCCCTTTTAAAGCAAAATTACATCATAAGCATTGTCAGAGATAACATGGAATAATACATCAATAATTGGTTAGGTGTTAAGTGGTTGCTCTAATGTTCTGCCTACTAAAGGTGATGTCACCAGGGCCATGAGGGTCTCCCACAGTTTCCCGGCGCCATCTTGCTGCACGAGGTAGTTAGTTGGTGTTAAAGGGAGAGGGAGGGGAGGAGGGGTTAGAAGCTTCTAGCAGCCATTTTGATTAAAGCATGTGTGCTTAGCTTATATATATATATTGTATATAGTGAAATGAGTAAATAGACATTTTCATTAACTTGGAAATATGTGCAGACCTTATTTCCACAACACCTATGTTTTATAAAACCATGCTGATTTTTGCTGATAACAATATTCTTCCCAATGAATTACTGTATAGTTTCCCTTACATGCATCTCAGCATTCAGACTCCCAACATTACACACAAATACACCCCTACATTCAAACGTCAAAACTATATGCAGACTGACCACTACATTCAAAGGCACACACTACATACAAGTAAACCACAGCTTTCAAGTGGCAACAGTACATAACAACACAGAAACACTACACACAAATACACCGCCACATTAATTCACAAACACACTCCATACAGAAGGTGATCTAACATTTTTCTATAGCTGCGATTTGGGGGGCCACAATAAAATTCTTTCACCAGGGCCTTCTTTACTTTAGTTCCACCGTTGGACACATAGGCTTTCAAACTTCAGATTTTTTTTTTTTTAATTCTTTATTTTTGTTGTGCAGAAAAAGACAAATATACTTGCAATCCCACAGAAGCCATAACAAACACAGTTATGTCAGGCAAAGTATAATATATGCATGGCATTCGAATTATCAGCACAATTTTGTAAAGATATTAAACAAAATAGCAAGCATGTCTGAGCAAGAAACTATAGGTGGATGGTGGCTGATAGACATACTTAATTTTATCAACGACAAGAAGCCACTGAGTCAATACACGGCGATATTGTATAAAGCAGAATACAAAGACAATAAGGTACACAGTAAATTCAAATTTAATAGAGCTGAGATAGCTTAGAAATATCAAGATGGTGTCAGCAATATAAGGGAGAGTCCTATGATGTGGTTTATAGGAGTACTGTCCATGTTAGTAGGCACACAATTAGCCTATGCCCAAGTCTGGAAAACTCATGTCGTGTAGATGCAGAGTTCTAAAGGCAGAATGGGCGTGATGTAGGACACCCCTCCAGCCCCATGATAGTGTTATCGAGCCATGGACTCAGAGGCTTGTGGGATCCCAATCCTTCCCTGTTGAGGAAAAATCTTATGCCCTGATTCTATGATAAAGCAGCGTGTGGTCTTCCCTCCACACGATTGGAGCTCACAGCCCCTATGAAGCTTGGAGCAATATGATAAAACTTAGTAGATATACACCAAACAAATTGGTAGAATATCTTTCTAGGATTTAAAATGAAGCTATGAAGCTTGGACCACGCCCCCTCAAACTTTTGATTTAAGTGGGAAATTAGGGAGCGAAATTTTTACATTTGTCATACTGTGGATTACTTCTTTGTAGGCACTTTCTGTTATTGTAAAGATGCATAAACTGCCTTAATGTTTTATATGTGTGTCTCTTCATAGTTTGTGAAAAATATGGGGTACAGCAAGGTTCTTTGTTTAATACAAGTGAACACAAATACAAAGAAACAAGTCCTGCGCTCAAACTCCCATTACTCCTGGGCGGCAGCCAAAATACATATACACATAGTACACATCAGTCAAAATACATATATTAAAAACCAAAGAAAAAAAGGCATACCCTCTCATGGCCATTGGAGGTAACTAAAAACCTCCATTTGTTTAAAAATACATAGGGATGTGAAAAGAGCGCAGGTAACTTTTACTCTTTGGTTTTTACTATATGTATTTTGGCTGGTGTGTACTATGGTTACTTTTGTATCACACAGCTTTGTTGCAATGCTGCTGCCCATCCCATGTGTTCCCTATTAAAGGCTAATAAGCATGTAGGGATGTATATAAAAAATACCCCTTCCTGTCTCATTAGAGATATTTTTGCCAGGAAGCTCAAGGAAGTAAGGCGAATGGTTAGAGTTAGGACCCACCTAAGAGGTCTGCCTTGACGTGGCAGGTTGGTATACCCTCTCATGGCCATTGGAGGTAACTACAAACCTCCATTTGTTTAAAAATACACAGGGATGTGGAAAGAGCGCAGGTAACTTTTTCACAAGTGCATAATAGGCTTCTTTATGATTCCCATTAACATTGTAAGCTCCCAAATTTAAATCAGGGACACTGGTGGTTTTCCTGACAGTAAATGATGCAGGGTTCTGGCAAGATACTGCTCAGCATGGAGATTGGTTTGTGATACAATCTTCCCTATAATATCATCCTCCTGGAACAACTGCATAAACTCCACTAGGCCATAGCTGGCACATCAGCCTATATGCCTCGGATTACAGTAAAGATAGTTATGTCAGGGGTGACTAACAGTCACTTTGGTCTCTGAGGTGCTATCTGTAGCCTCTGAATGAGCTATAATTGTATAAGCCTCCTCGGCAGTAAACCTTCTTAGCATTTTGAGACTGAACTTTAACTACAACTAAACAACTTTAAAACTTTTTTTTTTTGCTTTGTTTAAACTTTTTTTCTTTTAACCACTAACTAACCTAACACAAAATTTCTCGCTAACTTCCACCAACCCTAATTAACTAAATCACCAATCTAAAATTAATAAAATAAAACCAATAAATAAATTTTGCCCTCTGAGGGTTAAACAATATAGAATCAAAGTTAAACCTTAAGAATAATTAAAAATAAAATAACAGTAAAATACTGTATTCTGATCATTGCAGTGATCAAAGGGAAAGGAAAGAGTTAAAGTGGCACTATTACCGTTTGAGGACTTTTCCGAATTCCCGACAGTGAGTGACATCGCCGCTTGTGACCACTGGCGGCGGTGGCCAGGTAAAGGTGAGTTTACTTACCT